TTTCAGACAGATCTTTTCCCTGATAGAAAAGAAGAGCTTTCTCAGAGGGATTCTTTTGGTCCTTTTCACTGCAACCTTACTTTTAACTCTGGTATTTTTTTCAGCTGTCTTACTTTAGCTATACTTCCAAAAGTAGAATACCCTCATCTTCATTATACTACAAAACCGGACATGCCCAACTGTTTCTTTGGGGGGGGGCCCAACCCCACTTTTGCCAAATCCCTGGTCCCTGTTTCCAGTGCTAACTGTGGAACCCATTTCTCTGTGGGAGGCCTGCTCCCACTTTTTTTCCCAGGGTACTCTTGAGGAGGGAGGAATAAGAAATATTTAGATAGAAGGATAGAGGGGAGAGAAACAGATAGAAACATAGAATAGCCTCAGGAGGACCTGGATCATTATCCACCAGCCCATTCTGTCTCTTCTAAAGGGCCTTTTATAGGAATGCCTAGGGGTGGAGCAAAAGACCTCACCCTAGCACAGCCAAGTGCAGACCCTTCCAATCACCTGGTAACCACACACATGGTCAAGCAATCCTCTAATGCAGCCCTTCTGGGTAAAGCAAGCTCAGATCTCACTAGGAAATCTTTGTGTGCCTCCACAAGTACAAAAAAAAAATCAAATCAATTCCATGATATAATGAAAGGACTAATAACACCACAAACAAGCAGGGCTTTCTTCCTATCCTAGCAAGATGGCGGCAGAATGGGAATTGGTCACTGCAATCCATCACACTGATCATCCCAAGGTGTGCCAAAAAAATGGTATTTGACAAAAATCAGTCTCTCAAAATAAAAACACCCAATGAAACTAAAAATTATTAGATTATGGGTCTCAAGCTGACTCCCCAAAAATCAAGATCCATCCCCCACAGTCTCACCCTCAGGACCAGCTACTGAGAGCTGCTGGAACCTCACAGTTCTGAGTTCTCTTTCCCCACTGCAGCTGCAACATAACCTTGAATTACAATGTTAATTTGATCAGAGCCTTGTGACTTCTAATGTGAGAACTAGGTCATGTAATATGGAGCTTATCTCCCTGTCTAGAAAACTGTAAGAGCCAGAAATCCCCTGTGTTATGAAATTAAAGGCTCTCTTTTCCTTCAAGACCTCATCATGCTGCCTATGGCAGGATGCTAGGAGGATCTATCTCTTTCCCTTCAGGACTCACACTCTGTAGCTACTGCCCCTAATGCTCTCCCACCTCAAGGCCTCATCATGGCTGCCTATGACCATGATGACATCTTCCCTAATGCTCTCCCACCTCAAGACTTCATCATGGCTGCCTATAGCTGAGCCTACCACATCCCTAATAAAGCTTTTCTGAATGACAGCTCCATCTCAGTTTCCTTTCTATGAACCTGAAACATCTTTTATTATCTATAACAAGTGAATGGGAGTATCTTGAATGGAATGGTCCACAATGAGAAACCTATGGCTAACATAAGAATGGCAAAACACTGAACCTTCTAACATCAGGAGCAAGACACAGATGCTCACCCCCACACCTGCACTGTATTCACTACTTGGCCAAGCCAAGACATAAGCAAGTAAAAGAAATAAAAGGTGAAATAGAGGCAGACCTTACTCTTGCATAGATACAATTTGCCTGAATCCCAGAAACAAAACTAACATTTGAAAATTCTGGACCCTTTGAGAAAATTTTGATCAATCCATTTGATGGGTGATTTCCCAGTCATTTACAATAAGAGTCCTTAAAAGGTGCTAATAAAAGGAGAAAATGATTGCCCAAAAGCAGCTGTAAAGGATGTTTTAGACTCCTTCAGAGGAGATGGGAACCAGGTACTCAGACTAGGTACTTGAGGAATTAGCTTTGTAGAAATGACAGCGATATGTGCTTATGTCTGCTACTTTTCTGGTATTGTGATAAACACAGTGACCCAAGTGACTTATAGAAATAGAGTTTATTTTGGCTTATGATTCTAAAGGATTAAGAGTCCATCATGGCAGGGAGGCATGGCAGAAAGCAGCAGGCAAGTCAGCAGGAAGTGGAAAGATCTCATCTCAACCTCCAGCATGAAGCAGAGAGCACATGGAAAGTGGGCAGAAGCTATGAATGCTCAAGGCCCATCCCCAGTGACATACTTCCTCCAGTAAGCCTGCACCCCCTAAACCTCCCAGACAGCACAACCAACTGTGGACCCAATGAATGAACATAGGGGACTTTACATTTCACAAACATGCATTTCCTGACAATGTGGCAGGAAGTTTTTCAAGCCCCACCAACATGTGAGACAAGATGATTCCTTCCTAGGAAGAAGCAGCCACTCTGGACATTATGGGAGTTTAGCAGCACCTCTGACTTACATATATCCCTTTATGGGGGCAACCAAATCTCTCTCGGACACTAAATGTCCCCTGGGGTAATAGACATCAAAAATGTGCCCAGTTGAAAGCCACAGATTTAGGTAGTTAAATACCCTAACATCTGAGATTTCATTTAAATCACTGCAGAAAAAAAAAAAATGAAAAGCACAGACAAATGAAACATGGTAAATATTACTATGGGTCTTAGTGTTAAATATGCAAGTATTTATTATAATGTTTTATCTTCTGTATGTCTGGAAGATTTATAATGATGATGAAAATAAATTGTAATGTGCTATGGGCAGAACACAGATGCCCATAATTGTATGTAAAATTATGTATACAAAAAACACCCTGACAAATATGTCCACAGGGCTATAGATAAGTTAGGTTGTGGTTCATGCTTGATTTCTTTCTCTGGTTTTTAAAAATAATCTATAATTATATGCTTTTAGATGGAAAAAGATGACAAATGTAAGCACCTTAAAATGCAATATTATTAATAATTTTTGATCTAATATTAGAAGAGGCCCAGGCAGTAAACACAGCAGGAAGAGAAAGTTGCAGGCTGTGACCCTCTTTCAAGGCCCACAAGGAAAACTTCCAAAGTCAGAAGGGCTGTGAATGCCACACATCTGCAGAATGCCTCCCTCTGTTCTTCTCTGCCTGGTTAATTGAGTAACTTGTTAAACAAACATGCCTTCAGACTTCACACCAGATTAGGGGCCTTTGTAAATAAAATTAAAGCTGGGACTATGACTCCCCTAGCTGGGAAATGAATTTAGGAATGGCAGGGGTGGGCAGTGTGTGCCAAGACCTCTGAGTAACTCGAACTCTTCCATATTCATGGATAACTGCTGAGGCCCCTCAAGCACCAGGAGCCCACTGAGCAGACAGAACTCGCTCCTCCATGAAGCAGAGACCCACAGAATGTCCCACTGCAGCCTCTCCATAGTGTGCAGGTGGTTTTGCTAAGGTCATGCTTGGCTGGGATATTGCCTAGTTTCCATGACAATAAGGGTAATAAAATCCTTAAGGATTCTGTGGCAAAACTCTTTCCTGAACTCGTGCATTTATCCATGTCTCTGCTTGCCCTGAGTGCCTCCTTGAGTTTGGCATCCCCTGTTCAGTGGTACTAGAAACAGAAGCGGCTGGACATGAACAGCTTTCTGTGGAGCAGATTCTTAAAGTTTACCAAGACAACTGACACTGAGAATTCAGCCTGGGATGGACCGTGTGTGTGTGTGTGTGTGTGTGTGTGTGTGTGTGTGTGTGTGTCTGGAAGTCTGGGGTCTGGGGGTCTGGTTGTTTGTGTATACACATATGTGTATGCATGTGTGCATGTGTATATGTGTTTATCTGTGTATGTGTAAATATATGTGTATATATCTGTAAGCATATATGTGTATGAGTGTAATTTGTGTACACATGTGTGCATGTGCATATGTGTTTGTGTATATGTATGTGTGGATCGTGTATATGTTTGTCTATGTATTGTATTTGTATGTATGTATGTATGTATGTATGTATGTATGTATGTATGTGTATGAAGTTGTTCAAGCATTGTGTCTATTTTTCATGCCAGGCTAAAAGTCTTTATCTGATTTCAAACTCATTCTGCAATGGAATTGTAAGTCATGGGCCATTTTAGGGCCAGCTGGTTAGCATGGAAAACAAAACCCATTTTTACAATCAGGCCATGCTCGTTCTTAAGGCAACATGTTAGAACATCTAAAGGAGAACTTGGTTCAAGGAGAATCTGAAATACTTTCAGTTTGAACAGGGAGAGCTCAAGTTTCTATGGACCTGTCTCTGTTGTACAAAGTGATGTGTGGCACAAGGACATTCTTGTCACTTCTCTTGTTTTTTGAGATTATAGTTACACCATTCTCTCCTTCCCTTTCTTCCTTCCAAGCCCTCCCATATGCCCCTCCTTCCCTTCTTTCGAGTTCTTAGACTCTCTTTTAATGAATTGATGTCAAATGCATCTGTGCACACTCATATACATTTTATTAAATACATCCTGCATTTGGCCATTCACTTCTCTCCACCTCTCTTGTCTTTCTTGCTCCTCCCTCTGTTCCCAAACAGCCCCTTCTGGTTCTGCTTCATCTGTTTCACCACTTTCATGGTTTTATTTTGTGTGTGCATGTGAGCATGAGCTTGTTCACATGTGCCAGCCTTCTCAGGAAAGCCAGGGGAGGATGCTGGGTGCCCTGTGCTATCACTCTCCACCTTACTCCCTTGAGCCAGGGTCTCTCACTGAACCTAGACACAGGCTCATGGCCAGGAAGCCCAAGAGATTCTACCCAGACCCACAGTCCAGGGTCACAGGCACATGAGACTATACCTGAATATTTTTCTATGGATTTGGGGATGTGGAATCAGGTCCTTAGACTTGCCCAGCAAGTGCTCTTGTGAGGTCATCTCCCCAGAACCCACCCATTTTCATGTCACATGTAGATACATGTATTACACATGGCCTAGGTTCCACACTGAGAAAACATATGATGCATGTGCCCCCTACCTAGGAGAAGAGGAAGCTGAACTGGGCCACACTGAGATAAGAATTTGACTGGCTGCCCAAGGGGAACTCTCACTCGGCATGCCTTCATGCCCCACCCCCACCCCAGTCTGCAGCTCCTTAGCCCCCAACACCAGCTTGCTACCTCTTACCTGCTGTGTGTCACTGGGCAACAAACTCAACCTCTCTGCCTCAGTCCTTCTGCCATAATGTGTGTGAGGGCGGTACATTTCAGAGATCTGTAAGGCATAAGAGCAGTATTTCATGAGAAACCGTGAACTCAGGGCAGTGAGGTGGGTGGCTTAGCAGTAAGATGTCTGTCACCAGTCCTGACAACCTGAGCTTGACTCCCAGGACCCACATGATAAAAGGAGTAAACCAGTTTCTGTAAGTTATCCTCTGATTGTCACATGCACACACGAACATACACATACACACACACACACACACACACACACACACACACACACACACACACACTATATGCACATTGTACACATTTGCTCATGCACATACATGCGTATGCACACAACACACACATATACACACACCATGCATACACTTGCACACACATACACACACACACACACACACACACACACACACACACACACACACACAAATAAATGGAAAAAGGAAACAGTAACCCAGTGCCCCATCACGTAGTAAGGACTCAACATAACAGAAAACATGTAGATCAGGCTGGTGACCTGATCAGACGAGTTACCGCTGTCTTTATTGCCCACCCCCAGAAGCTCCAGGTATACTCTGAGCGTGCCTTATGTGCCAGGCATCAGAACAACTGCCCTTTACTTCCTCTCCAGCAGCTTTCAGGGCAAGTATTATCATCCCCATTTTACAGCTGTGGATACTGAGAAGTGAAGCACCAAAGCCACACCACCATCAGCAGTAAGCCAAGACTCAACTCTGCCTCATGTTCCCTAACATCCTATGCCATCCCCATTGCCGTCCCAGCCACACCATTATCTCCAGGCTTCTACCTCACCAGCTTCATTAAGCCACCACACCCTCAGATATCCTTAGTGGACAAGCAGTTTGTGCTCACCGCTAAAGCACCACCCCTGTACCCCTCTGACCCTCGAGCCTTACTGAATTACAAATTCATGCCTCCGTTGACCAAGAAACCTACTGGTGGGAATGAGTCCTGTGCATACATTCATTCCTGTGCATGGTGACGTGTGCACTGTTACTCACTGTACTGTAATTTGTCATTACCAATTACAGAAAAAGACTAGAAATACCCCCCCAAAGTCCATGAGAATAAGGATGATTAGCTAGGCTTAACACATGCCTAAAATCCTAGCCAATTAGGGGGCTGAGGCATAAGAATCACAAGCTCAAGGCCAGTCTGGGCCACTTAGAGGCCCCGGGATCAAAAAAAAGTATAGGCAGCAGAGATGCAGCTTGGTGGTAGAGTACTTGTTTGGCATGAGGAAGGTCCTGACTTCAATATCCAGTACTCCATAAAATGTAGAAATAAATTAAAAATATGTTACATTTATATTATAGAAAAACATAAAAATATAATTAAGAAATGTTATATCCTGATATGATATAGGCAAAATACATACGTTAACAGGGCAGTACACAGTCTGGTGACTTTAAAAGTGGTGTGTTAACTACATGAGTGAAATCACCAAAAAAAAAAATTTAATAAACTTTATAAAAATCATTAAATAAAAATAGATTAAAAGCGGTATGTGTACATTGCATTTGTTTATGTATACCTAACATTCGGCCAGGTGAAGAAATGAATACCCTGGCTGCCAGAGAAGAGGGGCTCCTAGCGGTCAGGGGGAGAATTGTCATTGCATACTCTAAAATATTCTTATTCTTCAACTTGTGAACAGTAAATGCTTTTCCCATTGAAAAATAGAGTTATGAACATATTCTAAGAATGTCAGTTTTGACATCAAGGATATCAGAGATTAGCCAGTCAGTGGTGGCACATGCCTTCAATTCCAGCACTCAGGAGGCAGAGGCAGGCAGATCTCTGAGTTAGAGACCTGGTCTACAGAGAGAGTTCCAGGACAGCCAGAGCTACACAGAGAAACCCTGTCTTAAAAAAACAACTCAGAAATTGGTTGAATAATCTTCCCTAACTGAGACATCTATATCAGCCTCTATGGTGTCAGGGGACAGCATGGAAGAGGCACAGAAAGAAGGTAAGAGCCAGAGAATGGGGAGGAGTTCTGTGGGATACTGTCTTCTGGCTGTGATACGGCTATTGCACTCATGAACTCACAGGAACTATGGATACCACTACCTGCCCAAGACCGACACAAGATCGAGCCAGTCAACATTCCTGCAGAGTTGAGAGAGGGGCTCATTAGGCTCCACCCCTCACTGAGGAGCAGCTGGCAGAGAGTGAGGCCTTTTTCTTCAGGATGATAGCCACTGTAAACTACCCAAATACATTCAAGCAGCACTAACTGGACTCAGTGGTTCAAGGAAAAAAAAAAAAAGAGGGCACAAAAGTGGGAGGGGCCCATGTGAGGGGAGTTGAAGGGGTGGGCTAAGGGTATATATGACCAAGAATCACTGAATATGTGAGTTAAAGAATTTTAGCAATGAGACAAACTTAAACAACTTCTTTGACCTCTATTAACCTCAGATTCCCCATCAGCAAAGTCTTCAAGCTCAAAAACACTATGATCTAGTGATGATATCTAGTAATGACAATTGCCAATGCTGTCATCCTCAGCATCAGCATCACCATCACTGACATCACTTCAATCATGACCACCACCATCATCATCTCCATTATCTCCATCATCAACATGCTATTGTCAACAACTTTATCACCACTACTATCACTACCATAATTAATATCATATCACTGTTACCACCACCATCATCATTACCATCATCATCTCCATCATGGATATCATATTACTGTCAACAACATTATCACCACCACCATCATTGCCATCATCATCACTATTATCACCCTCATCACCACCATTACCATTTTATCATCATCGTTATCACCATCACCACCATCATCATCACCACCACCATCTTGCTATTATCACCACCATCATCACAGATATTAGTTAAGCCTACTATATGCTAAGACTGTATAGTAAGTGCCCTCTTCGTACTGGAAGGATTCATGTCAGTGAGTAGTTTCAGGCAACCTGCAAAAACAAAAACCACTGTTCCCTCATTTGGTAGACAGGCAAACTGAAGTTCAGAGTGGAAATATAACTTATCCAGGGTCACACAGCTAATACGTGGCAACACCATATGCTGAACTTAGAGGTGCCTAGATCAAAACCCACATTTTGATGCTGTGGGTTTGTCAAGACTTGTGGATTTCCTCATTGTGTTTCCTGCCCCTTTTCCAGGTCTCCATCCTTTAACTCCCTTCTGAGCAGTATGAGCCTCCATCAGGCCTAGCCCTAGCTCATTTCCAATCACCCTTTATCCACCATAGCTTTGGAAATGAACTGTTACTAATGGGCAGTCATATGTCAGCCTAATGAATGGGATGCAGACTTCCATTAAAATAATGAAATTAGGGAGTTTCGAATTTGGTTACATCGCATGGCACACAGCCTCGAGTCATTACCACCTTGCTCTCTCTCCCTTGAATTAAAGTCGCTTTATTTATTTAAGGTCTTTGGCTGGGCCATCTCTATTAAGCTTGTATCATCTGTTTGGGGATGGATTTTTTTTCTTTTGGCTTGTTTGTTTAAATGATGATTGGGCTGTTCCCTTGATTAATAAAGTTGTGAACATAGACAGCAACAACCTCTGAACCGTGTGCAAAAGCAAAGACTCTAAGTCAAAAGACAGTTCTTCAGAGGTTTGGGTTTTGTTTGTTTGGATGGGGTTTTTTATTTCTCTTTTCCAAAGGATGAAAACAAGAGAAGGATCTTTGAGCTCCAGGAGGTCCAATTATGCTGACATTTCTGAGAGGGATACAACCAAGATCCATTTTGCAGGAACCCAGTGAACTAGCTAATCAGATTTCCTTGGATAATTTGCTCCAAAGGTCAGCCGCCTTCAAAAGCACCACAGCCTCATTACCGGGTGAAACTGGCTGCACATGGGGTTGGGACTTGGAACTCAGCCTCCCGTGCCAAGGGAGTGAATCTGGAATGTGTTAGCCCACATTCCGCTGTCTAGGCTTAGGACTCCTCTGGGTTCAGCCTCCAGGCTGAGCCTCTTGCTGATAGAGCACCTGGATTCCGGAAGGAAGTCGTCTCTAGGTGGGGCTCTCCCTTGTCGCAGGCACACCGGAGACGGTAACTCATCTGAAATGTGAATGCTGCTTCTGAAATTCAAGAAATGATCTTGATGTTGATGGGAAGGGCAGCCAGACGTACATACTAATCGCTAAACCCAGCTCTACCAACCCTCAGAAACATGCTTCCCAGCGACTAAGGTGAGGAACCCAGCAAGGGAATGCCACAGACCGGAGGGTGAGATAGTGTGAGACTCGATGGAATGTGGGGCCTTACGTTGGAGCCTGGATTTTTAAAATATGACATTTGTAGAAAAACTAATATAATCTTGGGCTAGAGCAATGTCTCAGTCGATAAAGCAATTGCGCACAAGTATGAGGACCCGAGTTCAATCCTGAGCACTCATGGGGAAAACATAGCCATGCCCAGAAATGAGAATCTGAATCCCAGCGCTGGGGAGATAGAGACATGATAGTCCCTGGGACCACCAGATGGCCAACCAGCTTGGCATAACAGGGTAGGCCAGTGAAGAGACTCCTGGCGTTGTGGCACCTGAGGAAAGGCATCCAGGTGATCCTCTGAACTCTCTCTCCCTCCCTAATTTCTCCCTCCCTAATTCCTCCCTCCCCCCTCCCCGTACCTCCCCTTTCTCTCTTTCTCTTTCTCTCTCTCTCTCCACACTTTGCTTCCTGCCAGCATGAAATGAGGAAACTCCTCCACCACAGGCTCCTGCCGCCATGATGCTCCACCCAAGCATGCAGCCAAGTGACCATGGGCTGAACCCTTTGTAACTGTGAGCAAAATAAAATTTTCTCCTATTAAAAAGCAAACAAACAACAACAAACTCTATATTGCTTACAGTTCAGCAAAAATAAGTTTACTCAGTAATAAACGTTTTTAGTGACCTAAAACCAAAACACCAGGTTCAGAAAAGAGGGCAAAGGCATGCATGATTTTATTAAAAAACGAAGTATTTGGGAGCTGAGGAGACGGCTCAGCCGGTGAACAAGCCTGCTGCTCATGCATTGCATTCCTCTTTCTGTCTGCTTTCTCCATGACAGCCGCTCTGACTGGGGTGAGAGGGAATGTCAGTGTGGGGTTTTTTATTTGGATTTCCAGGTGGCTAAGGTTGTTGGACTCTTTCATTTATTTATTTACTATTTTTGTGTTTCATCTCTTGAGAGCTACCTGCTGGGTTCATTTGCCCATCTCTTGATTGATTGGCTTCTTCTTTTTTTTTTTTTTTTTTTTTTTTTTAGTTATTTTGCTTTGCTTTGGTTTGGCTTGTTTGTTTCTTCTTTTGGGTTTAATTTTTTTTTTTGATCTCTTTATATATTCTAGACTTAATAACCAGTCAGATATACAGCTGGCAAAGATTTTCCCTGGGTAAAATATGCAGGATCTTTCACATGATCTGGAGACAGGAAAGTGGGTGTCTCAGTGTTCGCTGATGAGTCCTGCCAACCTCCTACCCAGAGTTTGTAATATAATAATGACAGCCACAAGAATTAAAATGTCACCAGTTGATCTCAAAGGTCTGTGAGATTTGTGGTTCTCACTGTCTGGCCCTTCCTGTCCACAGTGAGCAGCTCCTGGAGAGAACTTTGCAGAATTGTCCACTGGGAGCCAGCCATCCCCCTGGAAATGGAGACCCCATGTCACCTCCTTCCTGGGGAGTCTTGGGAAACTTGCTTAAGGGTGGGGGCTGTTTATAGAAAGAGGAATTAGTGGTAGTTGGGACAAAGAAAGGGAAGAAGCAGCTTGGCAGAGGGCTATGCTTACCAAGAAATCTAAATCACAGAGTGAGAGGTGTGCAGAAAGGTGAGCAAAACTGGGATGGAGACGTTAGGAAGAGCTACAGCACAGAACACTTGAGTACCAAG